ATACGCAGCACTATCCAGGTTCGAGTCCTATTGAGGGCACTAATGAGACCTAGGCGAGCTCGAAACTGCAGTCTACCCTTGAGGAGGATACTAGTTGGAAAGAAAGGCTATGCGAAATTGAATGGAAACAATGGAAAATCCAACTGACTAAAACGAAATTGATACATCTAATATATATTCTGAAGTATTTATAGCATTTTGATGTTTTACCCAAATGAGCGACTGTGGCAGCCATGTAAATTCTGACCGCAGGCGTACAAGTAACTGGCAAAAGGGGAGATAGTTGCTGCATGCTCTGCTTACCCGTCCAATGAAGGTGGGGTAAGGTCTTATATGATGATTACATTTAGGATGTGAAGGTTAAAGCCCTGCTCACTTGTGATTGTGTATCTGCGTGTGTTTGGATGCACGTGTATGCGTAAAAGCGAGCGAAGGAGAGGAAGAGAGAGATGGGAAAAAGTAAAACCAGTGAAGTGGTTTACAAGAAGTTAAGGAAGGTAGAACTAAATTTTTGCATTCTTTAGAAGAAAAATCCTGCCAGCGTTTTAAGGAATAAGGCTTAGGCACGCGGACCTAGACACGGGTGTGAGAGTAGGTGAAGGTGAAGTCATGTGTGTTTTTCCTTGCCTTAGTTTACTCCAGAGTGGTCATGATTGTGTAGGCCATTGATTTCGTCTGCATATTGTCCCAGTCTCTTAGGCCAGGTCGCTGGGTATCGACCGGACCCAATGGCTGCAGCCACCCGAGAGCCTGCGCTCGAGGCTGAGGAGTGGAAGTAGAGGGGAGCGTCTCTGTGAGCCCAACTGGATGGACAGACATTGGTCGTCTGAGGTAAGTGCCAATCAGCCTGTTATAATGTCTGGCTCCACATGGCACTAAAAGACGAAAAAGTTGCCCTCATCGTGACTACTCTCCGCCTATTTATTGACGGCAGCGTGGCACAAGTGCAAAAATGTCTCAGCTAGCAGGTAAACTAGCCTCGAACCTGGATTGGGGATCTGATAGTTAAAAGCTCCACCTCAACCATGTCTCAAAATCCATTTTCAGAACCTACTCAATCTGAATATGAGTAGTTCAGTCAATTTTAATTACATAAACGATTTTGCCAGTCTATAACTCTAGAAGAGACTTAGCAAGCCCTGAGTTTCATGTCTGCCCTGTATGCCATTAGCACCCGTGGCAGTATGGCAT